GTTCTCCATGCAGCAGTGAGTTACCTGCCTTTGCTTTACTGCATTTATATGACTGAATTTCAGCTAACCGGTTATGAAAAAAAATAGGTGGAAAAGGTGGAAGACAAAGGTAAAGTTGATACTATCTGCAGTACATCTGAACCTGCTGTCCCCTACATTCTACAAATAAATAAAAGAACAAGTCTCAGGGGGAAACACTTTTACACAAATTTTGCTACAATTGTTCAAATGGCTGGTCTTAGTCAGCTTACCTGAACACTATACTGTGCAAGACGGAGCTTTTCTGGCTTCATCTCGACCTTCTCCTTAGGTTTTGGCTTCTGTTCTTTGCCTGAACTTAAGCATTTCATAGTAGCTGCAGCATGTTTAATAATGTGGTCCTTGCTGCAGTAGGTCAGGTTGGGCTGCACCACATTGGAGCACCCAGGTCTGGTACACCTGGAGGTGCCTGGAGCCTCTACCACCTGCAGAGCAAAACAGGGAGCTTCAGACAGTGTGCTTGCCAATTTCAGCAGTTAAAGTGCTGTGTAAAATCACTATGTAGAGTACCAAGCTCACTGTTTTTAATTAAGAGATGTCAATAATATTTTTAATATGAATAAAATCCTATCTTTACTTATTCAAACTACATGAGTGTATTTCCCTGAGGCAAGGTATTCACATTTTTTTTTTGTCCTTTTTGAGACCGCCCGCACCGCATTCAGCCAGTGAGCGCTGTGAGCGCACTGGTCATCCCCATATAGGATCCGAACTCGCAGCGGGAGCGCTGCTGTGCTCCCAGCACCACACTCTCCCGAGTGTGCCACGGGCTCGGCCCAAGGTATTCACATTTTAACTGTCCTTCAAATCATCTGTGGTGGGCAGAACTCTAAGGTGACCCTTAGGACACCTGCCGCTGGCACATATGCTCTGTATAATTCCCTCCACCTTGAGTGTGAGCAAGGTCCATGGATACGATGAGATTTCATACCCACAATCAGGTTCTGCTATAGGGCAAACGTGCAGTAATTGCACAGGTAAGCAAGGTCCCAAATGAGATGACCAGAAAGGACCTGGCTTCATCAGGCAAAAACCCTTAAGAGAGAAACTGGCCTTTCCTAAAGAGAGGAGACTCCATTGCTGATTGTGAAATAAGCTACCCTGCTTTGGGAAGGCCAACCAAGTTTAGGATCTGAGTATAGCTGCTAGATAATATACAGGACACCCAACTAAATCTGAATTTCAGATAAACAAACAAAAAATATTATATAAGTATGCCACAAAAATTGCATGGGACATACTTATATACTGAACAGCATGAGGGATTCTGGAAGGAGATCTTTCCCCTCCTGAGCCTCTGATGAGACAAAAGTCACAGCCTGACTGCAGTCCTGTTAAGATCCCAATCAGAGGGCCCAGTGAAGTCATGCCCAGGCTTGAGAACAACAGAAACTGAAACCATAAATGTGTGATGTTCTAAGCTAAGTTTGTGGTAGTGTGGTATATAGTAACAAAAACCTAATACAGCACAAGATGTACTCTTGGTTTCTTCTGTTTTGATAGTCAAGACTAAAATACACATGAAGGCATCCCTCAAATGTACTTAAGTGAAAACTTATTTCTCAAATTAAATAATTAACATAGTTATTTTTCTTCCACAGAATCTGTTTTACTTAGAATAAAATTTTATATAAGCTTAAGTTAAACACATTGACGATAAAGATGAAATGGAGAAATTCTCCTATTAATTTTTCTTAATGACTGTGATATTAACAGTAATGTCATATTTCCGTTTAGTCACTCTTAATACTTTCATGGCACATTTATTTAAATGGCTCAGTCCTTGCACTTCCACCTTGCAGCTAACAGTGCAAGAGTGTTCATAAGGCAGAGATGCTTTGAGACACAGCAACCTCAAAGCCTCCTGTTGGTTGGCCCCAGTTAGAGGACAAGCTGCCAGGATAGGGGTGGACCAGGGACTGAGGAAGGCCCAGAGTGACACATGCTCCTTATCAGTACATACAGCAGAGCTGTTACTATACTACAGTATTCTACATTATACTTGTAATATATAATTATAATACAACACTAAATTACAANCACACCATCTGTGGTGGACAGAACTCTAAGGTGACCCTCAGGACTCCGGCCCCTGGTACATGTCCTCTGTATAATTCCCTCATGAGATTTCATATCCACAATCAGCTTCTGCTATAGGGCAAATGTGCAGAGATGTAATCAAGGCCTCAAATGAAATGACCAGAAAGGGCCTGACGTCATCAGGCAACAACCCTTAAGAAAAACTTTTCTGAAGAGAGGAGACTCTATTGCTGATTGTGAAATAAGCTGCCCTGTTTTGAGAGGGACAACCAAGGTTAGGATCTGAGTAAGGCTGCCAGATAATATACAGGTCACACAACTAAATCTGAACTTCGCATAAACAGAAAACATGATATAAGTATGCCACAAAAGTTGCATGGGACATACTTATATACTGAACAACATGAGGGCTTCTGGGCTTCTGGAAGGGGATCTTTCCCCTGCTGAGCCTCTGATTGACTGCAGTCCTGTTAAGACCCTGATCAGAGGGCCCAGCTAAGTCATGCTTGGGCTTGAGAACTACGGAAACTGAGACCATCAATATGTGTTGTTCTAAGCTAAGCTTGTGGTAGTGTGTTATGCAGTAACAGAAACCTAATACACCACAAGAAGTACACTTGGTTGCTTCTGTTTTGACTGTCAAGACCAAATACACATGAATGTGTCCCTCAAATGTATTTAAGTGAAAACTTATTTCTCAAATTAAATAATTAACATAGTTATTTTTCCTCCATAGAATCTATTTTACTTAGAATTAAATTTTATATAGGCTTAAGTCAAATACATTGACAATAAAGACATGAAATAGATAATTTTCCTATTAATTTTCTTAATGATTGTGACATTTAGTCACTCTTAATACTTTCATGGCACATTTATTTAAATGGCTCAGTCCTTGCACTTCCACCTTGCAGCTAACACAGTGCAAGAGTGTTCATAAGGTGGAGATACTTCAAGGCACAGCAACCTCAAGGCTTCCTGGTCAGTTGGCCTCTGTTAGAGGACAAGCTGCCAGGGTAGGGGTGGGCCAGGGACTCAGGAAGGCCCAGAGGGAAACATGCTCTGAGTCACGCCCCCTCATGGGCACTGGAATGGAGATTATGACAGTACATGACATCTCTCCTCACAGCAGAAGCTAACATATGTGGGAAAAATGATAAACAATCACAGCCCCAGAGGGGCATAAAAACCAGGTGGGAAGGAGAGTCAAGTAAAGAGCCGCAAGACAGAGAAATGATACATTGAGCACAGGAACTAGTGAGTGTCGGACTGATGCAGGCGCCACCACCACTCAGAGTTCCCCACACTGAGTTGGCACAAGAACCACAAGGCAGCTCGGGATGGTGTGTGTGGGGGTCCGGACAGGGGGGCACATGCACCTAAGCAATTGCAAAACAATGCTGCTGATACACATAAAATATGTAAGTAACATCAAGAACACGGAAATAAAAGTGAATTAAAAATTAAGTCCACAACAGCAGATGAGGTAGGTACAGATGCTTCTCCAGGTGGTGTGGGCAGGAGACGGGGGCAGAGCTCAGGAGGCCCCACCCAGATGCAGCACCTGTCCTGGTAGAAATTAGCTTATTCCAAGACAGAAACTTTCCTAGCCTTGATATTTCTACCAATAGCAAGTCTGGAACCCATAAGGTCAACCTCTTAATGTTTACCTCAGTAGGCCAAATACTCACAGGCTGGCAAAGCTTGAGTTTTTTCTTGCCCCTTGGATGTGCAGCTTTCTCAACTCTCCTCTTTATCTTTCAGTCTTCACTAGATTTTTGCTCCACTGTTCCTGGACTTTTAAACTCTGTCTCATCAGCATCTCCAGGTGTAAATTTAGTTTCCTGATGACCTGTGGTTTCTGCATTAGTCTCATCCTGCACTTGCAGAACGGTGCACTTTGGGCAGATATC